GTATTCTACAGAAGGCATTATTCACTCCAGTAAATATCTGTTCTTTTGTAAAAAAATGAAATATCTGTCGGAGAATGTCTGAGAAAAAAAAAAAGAATACACCGAACAACACATCAATAATCTGCAAAGGGATGATGACAGGCCCTGTGAGTCTGTGGGCTGATGTGGAGTTATTGAGCGTGGAGCGTTTTCTCTCTCTACAGCTTCTTTGTCTCTTTAAGCTGAAGCATAACTTCTCCTGGAACACGTTTTACCCAAGTCCAGTCTCCATCCTCTGCGTCCGTGCTTTCGGCTCTTTCATTTGGAAGCTGGTCGGTGAAACAGTCGGAAACATCTCAGTTCGTTATGAGGACGGAGACAAATATGGTTCCGCGTGTGCAGAGCCCCCGGAGGCGTGAAAGCAGAAAAACACACGTTAGCTTCCAGAGCATTGGCTTTTTTTTTTAGCAGCCGCTGTCACGATCAGCCGCAGCCTCGCTCTGATGGAATATTTAGTTGGACTGTCATAAATAGTTTGTGCCAGATTTCCACATATCGGGGTGAGGAAACCGTGGGAATCCCAGGCTAAAGAAACAGAGATGTGCTGCTCAGATCATGGATGGGGTCTCCTGGGTACCACGGCAACGGCGGTCTGGGACGGCCGAACGTGTTGCTGATTGGACATCTTGCATTCGTTAAGGTGGGTCAGATGATGCGGCGTGTCCACGGACTGGGGGGGGGGGGATCCGATAACAAAGCCGAGCTGTGTGGGGTAAGGCGATCTGATCTCACTGCCCCTGCTCCCAATGAAACACCTCTCTGTGCCCGTCCGTGAAAGTGGAGACCCTGAGGTAAACACAATGACCACTCACATGTGGACACACACACACATGAAGAGCACACAGAACGGGGCTTTTTGTGAAGGTCCTCCCCACCCCACAGCAAAACTGCCCATTGTGTAGTTCTACCGAATCAACCCTCTGATAATATTGTGAATTCCCCCTCAATGGTCTTAGAATCGTCATCTTTGAGGGAGGAATCTGGTTTAAACACAGTGGTGGAGAAAGTACTCATACTTAAGTAAAAGTACAAATACACAGGCAAAAATTTACTCAAGTAAAAGTCAAAGTACCACATTATCATTTTACTTAAGTAAAAGTAAGAAAGTACAAGCTTTTAAAACTACTTAAGTATTAAAAGTAAAAGTACTTGCCAACCATAATACCTAACGGCTTATATAATGTTATTAAGTGTACCTATCGTATTTAGTTTGAATAAATCAGTCCTGCGTACTGTGCTGCTCTTCTTGAGGGAGGGCCTAACGGTTATTTCCCGCTTTGGATTGGTTCAGCGGACTGATTCTGCTCTCGCCATTGGATACTTTCAAACTAACGAATAAATCAAAAAACCGAAATGCGTCTTGGATGTAACGAGTAACGAAACGCTGTATAGAAATGTAGTGAAGTAGAAAGTACAGATACTTACCGTTAAATGTAGTGGAGTAAAAGTAGAAAGTATCCATTATTAAATCTACTTAAGTAAAGTACAGATACACGGAAATTGTACTTAAGTACAGTAACGAAGTACTTGTACTTTGTTACTTCCCACCACTGTTTAAACATGAATAAAATGAAAAACCTATGGCTACTTTAAAGGTGGAAGTAAGGAGTCTGGATGGTTAGATTCTTATTGTTAGGTATTATTTCAGCTCATTTTCCAAAGTAACTCCTTGATTCATCGTCTTAAAATGATGAGGATCCTTTAGTTGCTGTGTGTGAGCTCAGTTTGAGGTGTATTGGGTTTGACAAACGTTTGTAACAGAATACTGGCTCATCTTTCTGGGAGGTACTAAAACAGGATCCCAGTTATAGCCAGTATTCTCCTGTTTATGTTAAACTGAGGTGGACAGATAGAATAATATCATCCATAAGTCTGTCTCACAAGGCCAGGGAGCACACAAACACAACAACAGAAGTCATTTAGTTCCAGAAAAGTTCAATTCATTGTGAACAAAGTCATTCCAGAGTAAACCTGGGCTGGTTAAACGTAAAGCTGAGTACAGAGAATCCACAGGAAAAAACACTTCTGCATCGGTGGCTCTGCTCTTTAAAACATCATTAAGAACATTCCGGTAAAGTATGGCAGTGAATACCAGGCATTTATACTCAGAAACCACGGACAGATAGAGAATAGCTGCTTCAAGGACCAGAGTCACAGCTGTGGCTGCCACAAACAGACCTTCATTTAGGGGAATAAAGACCGAATACCCAGATATAGACAGGAAGATCTGAAAAGATTTATATTAATGTTAACAAACTTTAATTTTCCAAACAAGTTTCAGTGCCACTATTCTTTTTTCTGCTTACACACCCCAACACACACATCTAGATACAGTAGATAGATAGATAGATAGATAGATAGATAGATAGATAGATAGATAG